ATCATATGGATGTCGATCACTCAAATTTCCTATTAAAAATTTTGCCCACCTGATCTGCGTGACAAATCGTGCGTCTGCTATCTTGTTTTAAATTGTCATAATACGTAATCTAGTGCCATCATCGGTTTATATATACTCCGACAAAACTATTAAGTTTAATACAAATCAAGTCAAATATGAATCATTTTTGTTAATCCATCACCTTATCATATCAAGTTTTCAAAAAGAACAAAGCAACCTATTCCCACTTTGTTTAATGTATCAAAAAGGAATAACGAAAATGCGTGACCTCCTAAATTAATGTACTGTATTTTACGTTAATACCTAATTACCCAGTTAAAAACGTACATATGTATGTATGTACATACGTGTGTACGCACGTAACTACTTCAGGAATTTGCAACCCTTTCAGTAATTTGGACCTAAAAAAATTATCGCAAACTATTTTAAAGTTGATAACTTTCATTTCTTCATTAAAAATTTTATAATTTTTATAAACTTACCAGAATTTTAATATACATATTTTTATCATGGTTACCATTAATCTTCAATCGTGGCAAGATCCGGCTTTTCCGGATGTCTCGACCCTTCAAGAAATTACTGAGGATATCCTAGTTAACTTTCAAAAATGTAAAGAACTACAAGTTAAACCTAAAATCTCAAAAAATGAATTAGATCAACTTGACAAACAAAGCAATACATTCAATAAATTAACTGAACGAAGAGCTACGGAATCTTTAAAAATGTCTGAATATTTGACTGATGTCGTGAAATATCTACAATTAGTCTCTAAGGAAAATGTGAATGTTAATGCAATTAAACAAACTTTAGGTTCATTATTGAAAACCGCTAAAGTTCAAAAGGACAGATCTGAGAAATTAAAGAACGATTATATTTCTTTTCATAAAGAATTAAATAAAGCTAAAAAGAGACAACTGAATACGAATTTAATATTTTATTTACTAGGGTTATTGGTTCTCTTCATAGCTATAGCCTGGAATATTTATTTGTATACAAATTTAGGGTATTATAGTGCTTTACAACAATCAGATTTTGCAGAAAAAACAAATAATTTTTCATTAAACGATGCGTGTAATTTTTGCAAAGATATTGACCAAGTTAAAGACATATGTCGTTATTCAGATCATAGGGAAGGTTTACCTTATAATTTCTCTGTGAATGATGGTTATGAAATCTGTGGTCATTTCTTTAAGGAGACTTGTGTTATGAATGATGATAGTTTAGGATCCCAAATTGTTTCTCTTGTAAAATCCCAATTTTTTTCTATTTCTAATATCGTTAATTATAGAAATTCTGAAGATAATTATTGTAAAGTAAAAAATCAAGACATTCTGCAGAATAATGAAACATTTTATGAAATCTGTGAATACTTATTAGAAAATCGAAAAGGTAAGCTTATAAATTTTTTTTTAAATGAAAATTTTAACTTATTCATCAACAATTTGTATTATTCTAACTTTTTTTTTTGGTGTAGATGAAGAGTTGAATGATTTTATGAGCGAAATTGAAGATGAAAATGATTCACCAAAATCCATACATATTTGTAAACAATGGCAAACTAGTAAAAATCCGATTCATGTAAAAGACATGCACGATTATTCTTTAGTGATTTATTCATTAATCGGTTGCCTAGCTATACTTTTGGTCATTTTCATGATGAAAGAATTGGTCAATTGGATATTTCAACAAGATGACGACGAGAAGGTCACCGCATTAGATAAAAGATCGGGTTTTATACGACATATTAGAGATAGATTTCCAGAAATTAATGACAATATAATTACTTTAGATCAATTTTGGAAAGCACAGATTACTATTATCAATGACCATATTTCGGTTTTAGAATCTATAAATACGAATAAGATCAATTTATCACATCAACTTGTAGATTTGATTATAAGGCTTTGGGATGAAGAATGTAAACGTTGTAAAAGTTGTTATTATAAATTAAATGAAAGCATCGCTTTAAATTCCATACTCGAGGTAAATATACTTTATTGTTTATATATATCATGCATTTTTTATGTTTTACTAATAATTAAATTTATATTTCTCTATTATAAAAATTTCTATCATATTTTCTATCATAATTTCTATCATAATTTCTATTTAATTTCTATTATAATTCTATCATGATTTCATGCAGTAAAAAAAAGAAGTCAATGTTGTATTGTATATACTTGCCGTTCAAACCCAAACTATTATTACAGTTGAGCTTGTCCATCAAAATTACTCTGGAAAGTAATATCTTAAAACTTTATCGATAATTTTTGTCTATACAAACGAGATATTTTTATAATTGTACAGAGTGTTTAATTTTTTGTAAATAGCAAATTATTTTTTTGATCATTCAGGTTTTGTCGGCAAGTACAAATGTTATATTGTCATTCATATTCATGTTAAAAAGATAAAATGGTTAATGTTAAGACATATAAATATATTTAGTATTTCTATTTTATTACTATCTGTTTTTGTAAGATATTTACGGAAATAAATCGTATAATCATCCTAGTAGACTTCATGAAAATTGTGCATTTATTAGGCATTATTATACGGTTATAATGTTTGGGCTCGCGATTTCGTACTCACTTCGCGATTATGAATATTTAAACTCGCGTCTGTACATGTTCATTTGAGTATCGTCTGGAACTCTTATCCATTGTTTATACGGTATTACGAATAGTAGTGTTGTATGATTGAGCAAAGAGCGTATGATATGTTAATCCCATTTGAGTATATAAAACTAGCATACTATACTCAAAATATATATTATATATAATATATGCGACTTCACGAAAATTCTATTCAGATTTATTTATCGTTGTAATAAAAATAAAAATATACCGAAATGATACGAAACCAAAAAGAATTTAGATAAAATCGAGATTTTTATAAAAGGTTACAAATTTGCTGGCTGGACACCATGCACAAATAATTTTCTTAAATTCTGGGTCTGTTCTAAGAATGTCTTTTCTAGTTCATACTGATAGAAATCTCTAACATAAAGATAAATTATTCTATTAGTATTTCCATTTTCGACCGATTTGTATCAATTGAATTTGTATTATTTCGGGAAGGAATGAAGATTTTGAAAGTTTATTATTAATACGTACTAATTTTTAAATTTTAAAATGGATAACGGATTAGTACATAGCTATTAAATTTACAAGTTATTCTTATATTTTGCAAGTTACCCGAGGTTTAAATTCAATATAGTTTTATAATGCCTTATGATTTAACTGATTTAAAAGTTAATGAACTTGAAATCATCTGAACAAGTAAAATGCTTTTTCAAGAAAGCCCTAGAAATTAAAGACTTTGCTACATAGATTAACAAAAAAAAAAAAGAAAAATCTGACTCCGATCGAAATTTCGAATGTCATTTAATGCAAAACTAATATCATCTTTGTGTAGCCTTAGTAATTTAAGTTGAATTTTTAAAATTTTGAGCGAAGTTTTTCTGATCGAACTTGATAAAAATTTTTATTTTAATCAAATGTATGTGGAGAAATAAAATAAATAGTTCAAATGACAATTAATGATTTCATCCACCTACAATTAGTTCTATTTGATCTGTTTTAAGAATATCCTCCGATTTTAAAATTAAATTAATTTTTCCCCACTTTTTATTTTTACTAAGCATGCCCATGATATGTATGCCCTGTAAGCTCACCGAACGTAAACATTGTGAATGGAATACAGGCGCTCCACTATCACCTTGTTTAGTAGACATTCCATGTGTAACGATCAAATTCTCGTAAACTTCATCATTAAATATAAAAAAAACCATCTAACGATTTTATGTATCCGCATGTAACTAATGTTTGTCAGCCAGATTTACATAGATGAGCATTATGGGTCGATATAAGTTCAAAATCCCTTATAAATAGCTTATGATATTCATCAGAATCTGGATTACTTATCATTCTTGTTGGTTTCACATTGCTGTTTGTTATTTCAATTAAGCCATAATCAGTTTCGATTATATCATGGATTACCATTGGTCCAATTTCTTCGTTATCAAAATCAGGCAAATAAAATATATTATGTTCAGGTGCTGCGTTATCATAATCAATACAATGTCCTGCAGTTACAATAAAATCCCGATCTAAGTTTTTTGCATCTTT